GCTAAGTTACATTCCTTCCTTAACCTTTATAAACATACACTTCAAAGCATCTCTATACTACAATTCCCAGAATGGCCCTAAAGAACTTCGCAATAGTACCCGACTAAGGATGCTAGATAAGCATTCCACAGAGTTGCCACATCTCACAAAATGGGCCAGCCACTGTACCAGGTATAAATGTAGGCGACTCAACATCTCAGACAAACAACCAAAGTCCTTTAAATCAGGATGTGTAAATCAAAAGACAATGAGAGGTTTAACGCTGTCCATTGTCTCACCCGACTGACGAACGAGAGGAACTCAAACTGTACTTAATGCCGTTTGACTGTCATTTTACTGAGCTGATATGAGACGATTAACTACATCAATGCGGTCGAGTATTTCATTTAGGACGGATTTCAGTGTTATATTAGAGCTTTTCTTTTTACCTAAGTTAACGTAACTATAAAATCACTTATCGGACCTTAAAGTCACATCAATATGATTATATATCCCCTATTTTAACCTAAGACGCCTATATACACACAATGAAAATATACTCTTATACAGCTGTCAGTGGAGCAGGTGTAGGGCAGGGTAGGCTGTCAAGAGGAGTAGGTGTAGGGCAGGGTAGGCCGTCTAGTGGGGCAAGTGTAGGGCAGGATAGGCTGTCACGTGCAAATAACGAGTGTTTGACCAGGGCCTCAAGGGACAGGGCTGGCGGGTGTTCCGTCGTTGATGACTTAACAGACGGGCAGGTAACCTGAGGGCGGAGGTCACCTTACCACAGAGGTACGGGCAGTCCTCACCACACAAGTGCAGGGAAACCTTCCACACACAGGTGCATGGAAGCCCTCCACACACACAGGAGCAGGGAAGCCCTCCACACACACACAGGAGCAGGGAAGCCCTCCACACACACACAAGTGCATGGAAACCCTCCACACACAGGTGTAGGGAAGCCCTCTACACACAGGTGCAGGGAAGCCCTCCACATATAGGCAGGGAAGCCTCACATAGGAGCAGGAAGCCCTCCACACACAAAGTGCAGGGAAACCTTCCACACACAGGTGCATGGAAGCCCTCCACACACACACAGGAGCAGGGAAGCCCTCCACACACACACAGGAGCAGGAAGCCCTCCACACACACACAAGTGCATGGAAACCCTCCACACACAGGTGTAGGGAAGCCCTCTACACACAGGTGCAGGGAAGCCCTCCACATATAGGTGCAAGGAAGCCCTCCACACACAGGTGCAGAGAAGCCCTCCACACACAGGTGCGGGGAAGCCCTCCACGCACAAGTGCGGGGAAGCCCCCCACATACAAGTGCGGGGAAGCCCTCCACGCACAGGTGCGGGGAACCCTCCACACACAGGTGCGGGGAAGCCCTCCATTCACAGGTGCAGGGAAGCCCTCCAGCAGTAGTGAGGGAGCAGCCATTGAAGAACACCAACAGGGAATGACTTACAACAGTACATCAATAAATGTTATTTTCCGTGTGTGTTAGGACCACGTACAATACCTGTATACCTGTAGAGACATAATACTGAGGCAAGAGGGGGATGAACAATGCACTTCTGCAGTGTACACACACACACACACACACACACACACACACACACACACACACACACACACACAGCTCTGAGGGCCGTTATTCCCCGCACGTCTGCTGGTCTTAAGAATTTGTTTTCCTGTTGTCCCCATCTGTTACGCTGCCTCTGACAGCAACAGCCAACAGCAACCGAAAATCATGATAGCCAGCAGTCACAGCAGACAGCGAAGACAGCCAACAGTGAATACCAATAGAGAGTCAATAGCAAAAAGCAGACAAAACGAAGAGGCAGCAGACACAGCCAACAACAGCAGACAACTGACACAGCCACAACCATCATTAGGTGGCAGTGACAACAGACATATGACTACAGGAAGAAGGTGATGATGTGTACAGAAGGTGTCAAGGAGATGTCTGAGTAGATACTGTAGATAGCAGGAGTGTGAGAGGGGCTACAAGAGACTATTCAGATAGCCCACTATATAAGACTACTCACACTAACACACACACACACACAAACGCAAAATATTCCCCGAATCAAACTCGAGCAAACCCAACCACACCATAACACCTTCCTGAAGTGTGACAGGTAGGTTAGGTTAGGTTAGGTTAGGCTAGGCTAGGTTAGGTTAGGTTAGGCTAGGTTAGGTGGCCCATGGCTATAGAGTATCCCACTCACTGACCTAGTATGGTGGTGATCATTATGTGGTATTGTCCAGTATGTGGTATTGGTCATTATGTTGTATTGTCAAGTATGTGGTATTGGTCATTATGTGGTATTGTCCAGTATGTGGTATTGGTCATTATGTGGTATTGTCCAGTATGTGGTATTGGTCATTATGTGGTTTTGTCCAGTATGTGGTATTGGTCATTATGTGGTATTGTCCAGTATGTAGTATTGGTCATTATGTGGTATTGTCCAGTATGTGGTATTGGTCATTATGTGGTTTTGTCCAGTATGTGGTGTTGGTCATTATGTTGTATTGTCCAGTATGTGGTATTGGTCATTATGTGGTATTGTCCAGTATGTGGTACAAGTAATTATGTGGTATTGTCCAGTATGTGGTATTATTCATTATGTAGTATTGTCCAGTATGTGGTATTAGTCATTACCTATGTGGTATTGTCCAGTATGTGGTCCATTGGTCATTATGTGGTATTGTCCAGTATGTGGTATTAGTCATTGTGTAGTATTGTCCAGTATGTGGTATTAGTCATTACCTATGTGGTATTGTCCGGTATGTGGTCCATTGGTCATTATGTGGTATTGTCCAGTATGTGGCATTGGCTAAAATATAGGCTTTGGGAAATGTATGATGATTATTATTATTTGGAGGAAAAGGAAACGACAGAGCGGTGGCCAGAGCCGTGTGGACCAGACCAGCAGGTTGGCCACGAGTGCCACACGGTCGGTCGACAAGACACATGTTGCCTGGCCGGTGCTCCAGGCCACACTACGGCCACTCAAGGACATCAGTGGGCGCGTTGGGAGAAGGAGGGGGGGTTCCTGGAGGCGTGGTGCCATGATCCTTCTTCCTGATTGGTGGAGATGGACTAGGTGGTACAGGCCGCCTCGTCTGATTGGTCACAGACATTTATTGAGTCAGGTCTAATAAAAGTGAGATTGATTTGATAATATTTTGCCGAGAGAGAGGGAGGAAGAGGGGGAGAGGGGGGGGTGATGGGGCAGGACAAGGAAGGTCAAAAGGGCAGGACGGGGAAGGACAATGGGTAGGCCAGGGAGGACAAAAGGGCAGAACATGGAGGATAAAAGGGCAGGGGAAGGACAAAGGGAAGGAAGGGGAGCACAGAACGGGCAGGACAGGGCAGGACAGGGAGGACAGGGAGGACAGGGAGGACAAAAGGGTAGGAAGGGGGAGGACAGAGGAAGACAAAGGAGCAGGACAGGAAGGGCAAAGGGGAAAGGCAGGGAGGAAACGGACAGGACAGGTGTATGGAACTGATGACAGGTGTGTAGAAAGGTGGACAGGAGTGTAAGATGACGTAAAACAGGTGTATTTGACAGTGTAGGACAGGTGTGTAAGATGATATAGGACAGGTGTGTAAGGTGATGTATGACAGGTGTGTAGGATGATGTAGGACAGGTGTGTAGGATGATGTAGGACAGGTGTGTAGGATGAGGTAGAACAGGTGTATTTGACAGTGTAGGACAGTAGTATTTGGCAGCGTAGGACAGGTGTGTAGGATGATGTAGGACAGGTGTGTAGGATGATGTAGGACAGGTGTGTAGGATGAGGTAGAACAGGTGTATTTGACAGTGTAGGACAGCAGTATTTGGCAGTGTAGGACAGGTGTGTAGGATGAGGTAGGACAGGTGTGTAGGATGATGTAGGAGAGGTGTGTAAGATGATGTAGGACAGGTGTGTAGGATGAGGTAGGACAGGTGTGTAGGATGATGTAGCAGAGGTGTGATGATGGAGGACAGGTGTGTAGGATGAGGTAGGACAGGTGTGTATGATGATGTAGGACAGGTGTGTAAGATGATGTAGGACAGGTGTGTAGGATGAGGTAGGACAGGTGTGTAGGATGATGTAGGACAGGTGTGTAAGATGATGTAGGACAAGTGTGTAGGATAAGGCAGGACAGGTGTGTAGGATAAGGCAGGACAGGTGTATTTGGCAGTGAGGGGCATTTCACTCAACTTATATACTTGTTAACATCACTTTACTTCCCGCGGAGTGAGCTGGAGTGGCGCCTCTTAGCCTCCCACAGCCTCTTGTCTAACTAAATAACCCTAAACACAGATTAGTGGTGTGTGTGTGTGAGAGAGAGAGCTATAGATGGTAGGGGAGATGGTTAACTAGCTCCCTCCTCCCAACAACCCCCCCCCCCCCTCTACTCCACCTCTGTTGACATTCGACACACCCTAAATGTCAGTGACCAAATATATCCGAGTTATCTAAAATTCTTGTGCCTACTAAATTACGTCAGAAAATACACCGTTTTTGTAAGATGGTTCAACTTATTATTCATGAGATGGCCGTCCTTAAAAGGCTTGTTTTCCACCATATTTAATGAGCTGGGGGTCTCCATTATCCGTGTAGATGGATGACTCCATTATATCCAAGTTTTTCGAAGTTGGGGGTAATGGGGGGGGGGAGATGGTGGGGGGAGAAGGGGGCAAAAATATTGTTATGCGTGGGCGTGGGTGGGAGGTGTCAGGGAGCCGTGGGTTCGCTGCCACATAACTCAGCCGCTAACATTTCTACCTGGAGGATGTTTTGTGGTGTAGGTGTGTGAAAACGTGAGGCACCGACGGGGTCTCTGGCTTGTTGTTGTGTCTTACATCCCTCACTAGATATTACGCTGTGTAGAGTTACAGGTGTAGTAAATAAAGATGTTAGGAAATATTGTGAGCGCGCGCAGGCGACGTAGTCAGGGTCCGCCTCACGTTCATTGAGAAACACGAGGGAAGGAAGCTCCGCCCACTTCCATTGAGAACCGCGCGGCCGAGGGTATAAGAAGCAGCGACCCGGACCAGCAGCTTAGTAGTACCTGAGTAATCAGAGAGGAGGTGAGTACTTGCTGAGCTCACCTGGCCCACCACCAAGCTACCTGCCATACCCACAATACCTCTCACTACCTCGTAAATTATCACCACGCTTACCAACCTTTATGTACGGGACATTGCTGCCAGTGACCGAGTGTTAGAGACTCACAAGTAAGCGGTTGACTTGCATCGCGAAAAACCTGCATAATGCTCAGCCAGCGAACGTGTGACTTGTTACTGAGGGTGTCGACGGTGGTCATCCTAGCGGCGGAGAACGCCCACACCTCCAGATTACCTCCGTCCAACCCCCTCCAGCCTCTCCTAGACCACACCCCGACCTACGACCAGCACTCAGCCTACAGGGTCTTCTATCAATCTGGGGTGAGTACATCTGTCAGTTTTCAACTTCATTACAGGTGTAATACAAGTATCCTCATCCTCGAGGTGCTCCTGTGACACACCGCCCACCACAAATGACCACTTGTCACACATCCTCGCCACACAAACAAAACCTGGTACATCAAATTTATTACACAATAATAATAAATACTACAGTAATAGCATCAAGATCTAACAGGAAAAAACTAAAGGAACTTATTTTTTTGTCTTTCCTGACAGTGAACTATTTATCGCTGTCATTCATACGTCTTGCTTAGATGTAAGGCATGAGGGTGTTCCCTTTGTTGTTGTTGTGAGGAGTACACGTGGGGCGGGGCACGGGCCTACCTCCCCTCCCCCGCTGCTGCATTGTACCTCAATCCCAAGAAACTTTAAAGTATGTAAGTTGAAGTAAGACCAGGCGACTGACTCTCCTCTTGGCGCCAAAACGTAAACTGAGTTGTGGTATGGACAAGTGAACCTTGCTGGCTATGGTACAGACAGGTGAAGTATGTTAGTTGTGGTATGGACACGTACTGTATACTCAAAACTGAACAATAAAAATTAGAATATTATATGAAATTACAAGCAAGATGAAGCAGAGGTGTGGTTGATATGGCGATGGTTGTAGTGGTGGTGGTCTCGATGGATGTGATAGCTGGCGGAGGTGTCACAAGTGATGGGAGTACTGATACACGTCCACCTGAACAAGATATCACTGAGTGCCAATTGGACCCTCACCACTTCCTCCTATTGGTGAAATCCCCCCTGCCTACCCACCCCGCCCTTTTAAAACACAACCTCAAACCTTCTTCATACGTGGGAAGATATTCCTTCTCTCCCTCCCGCTGGTGAAGAAGGTACCTGGTTCCTTCAGGTGGTGGGTGACAAGCATGGTGGGACTGGACGAGAAGACGAGGCGGGTATACAGTACAGCTACCCCCTCCCTCCCTCCCTGCCTCACTAGTCGTCGCCGCTACCTCACCTCTGGGTCTCCTTCACCTTACTCATTCTCCCTCACACACCCTCCAGGCTAACCTCCCGTAATATTGAGCACTGTTAGAGTGTGAGGTACAGCCAGGGAGGGAGGGAGGGTAGCCAGTGGACGGGGAGGAGGCAGGTGTCTGTCGTCTCTCAACATGTCTCTGGTTATACCCCCTTGCTGTCTTAAGTGTAAAACCAATATTCACCCTTACACGAATTACTCCCTGAACAATAGCTATTAACCTATGCTGACAATGAGCACTTTCTTCACTTTCACTGAAATTGTAATACAACTCATTCTAAAACACCTGAACGATATTTATACCACATTAACATGGATGATATTACGTAATTTTCTCTTCTGCCTCTGGGATGTGTCCAGTCATTCCGCTACTTGAAAGAAGATTATTTGTCTCTCTCTTTAATTTCCCCTAAAATATTAAGTTACTTTAGCGATGTCTCTTTGTTGGGTCATGGTGGTGAGGCAGGTGTGGTGGTGAGGCAGGTGTGGTGGTGAGGTAGGTATAGTGGTGAGGTAGGTGTGGTGGTGAGACAGGTGTAGTGGTGAGGTAGGTGTGGTGGTGAGGTAGGTGTGGTGGTGAGGCTGGTGTGGTGGTGAGACAGGTGTGGTGGTGGTGTGTGTGGTGAGGCAGGTGGTGGTGGGGGTGGTGTGTGGTGGTGAGGTGGGTGTGTGGTGGTGTGGTGGTAGATTTTGGTGGTGAGGCAGGTGTGATGGGTGAGGTGTGGTGGGGGACAGGGTGGTGGTGGGAGGTGGTGGGGAGGTGTGGTGGTGAGGCAGGTGTGGTGGTGAGGTAGGTTTTGGTGGTGAGGCAGGTGTGGTGGTGAGGTAGGTGTGGTTTGGTGAGGCAGGTGTAGTGGTGAGGTAGGTGTGGTGGTGAAGCAGGTTTTGGTGGTGAGGCTGGTGTAGTGGTGAGATACACCACCACCACCATACCCTTCACCACCAACACAACCTCACCACCAAATCCTCACCCTCATCATCACACTCACCACCACCAATTCATCACCCACCACCTCAACCACCACCACCACCTCACCCTCACCACCACACCACCACCACCTTGCCCTCACCACCATCTCACCTGTCACCACCACTTCCCTCCCCCCCTGTTACCACCACAACCTCACCCCAGACCCTCACCTCAAACCACCACCACCACCACCTACCTCCCCCCACCACACCTCACCCCTCACCACCGCCTCAACCTCACAACCTCACCTGTCACCACCACCCTCAAGAACCACCACCACCCCACCCCCACCACCACCTCACCCCACACCACCACCCCACCCCACCCCCCCACCACCCCACCACACCACCTCACCCCCACCACCCCCACCCACCCACCTCACCCCACCACACCCCCCACCCCCACCACCCTCACCACCCCACCCCACCACCACCTCACCCCCACCACCTCACCAGCACCACCACACCTCACCCCACCACCACCTCACCTTCCCATCACCCACCCCGCCACCCCACCCCCACCACCACTCCTGCCACCCCCCACCACCACCTCACCCCCACCACCCACCACCACAACCTCCTTATCGTCATCAACCGCTAAAGCCACAGCCTCTGTCCCTCACCCTCTTTGGGGCTTTAATCTTCATTGTTAAGTCTTCTGAACCACCCCACACGTTACCGCAGGCTTAAGCTTACCCGTATCAAGCTGGGCTCCCTAAGACATAATAAGCTCAGGCAAACCCGCCCTTGTGTTCCCTGGAGGAGGTTCGGGTTCCCCCTGCCACTCCTTCGTTCTCTCCCTCCAGCAACATCTGCTGACGTGAAACACAAGCCTGCAGGTGGGCCTCACAATTAGCAGTGACCTTCTTATAGTAATATAGCGGGGAGTGTCTTGAGGCGGCAGGTGGAGACAGCAGCTCCGACCCGCCACCTCAGATTGGGTCTCAGCAGGTATCATCTTCACGCCTTCTTCACCAACACTGTAACGTGATCCCGCCCTCCCACAGTCACTCAAGCACTTCACCAATAACAGTCACCAGTTTTGGTATATAGGCACGTTAATGTTTCCTATTTTAATTCAGTCAATTTTCACTCGTAATTCACGGTCCTGTGATCTTTATGTGCAACTCTAAGATAATATACCTGTAGAGGCAGTTTTTTTTTCACAAACTCCGGGAAGACTAAAATCACGGACATCAGGTATCTATTATAAGACGTTAAACTTCAAGGTTTGATTTTCGCGCCGTTGTGAAGCGTCACGTAGCCGAATCACAATCCAAGTTGACAAGACAATAAGATTTTTCTTCACCGGATAATACCATGATACTGGTATGCCATATGAAATGCCTAAAACTTTAGGGTTTTTTAATATTTTGGTATAAATAAGACTGCATACTTTTGGAGGTTGTGTGTACATAACAAAGCATTGAAGTGTTGCGGTGAGCCCGGTATGGCAGCGGTGGTCAGCGACACAGCGGACAGAGGAAGTGCGCGCCAACCTCTCTCTGGATAGTAATCGTCCCCCAACCCCAATGTCCTTGCCTGACTAACATTTTCTAAAATTTTCACTCAATATTAATTTTTGCATTTTTTTTTATATTATAATGTCATCACAGAATTTTCGGAAACCGTCGGAATCGCATTTTTATTTTTATTTTAGTAGTTATTATTACGGTCATTCATTTCCTATTGTTTCGTTTAAAAGAAACTACATTCAAGTGTCTATTTATATAACAGTTTTATTGTCTCCAGAGTAAATATTTGAGTAAAATCAGAGTTTAGCTTCATATGGCTATCAGCTGAAAAACACATTCTCGCAATCGACTTGAAAACGTGCACAATTCCCTGGGAAAATAGCGGGACTGAACGTACTCCTCACACACACACACACACACACACACACACACACTCGTTCGTGTACGTAATAGGTAAGTTCTGAAATAGAAATCTGTAATTGAGAGGTCGAGAGTTAGTGTTAGTGTGTGTGAGAGTTGGTGTGGTGCCGGGCCTCCCTGCAGCGGCCGGTCAGACCTGTTGCCACCTTATAACCTTGCTCATATGCTTCCCAAACTGGCTCTTCCCTCCACCAGTTTTTCCCGATTTAACTCTCGACCTTATGTCCGTTCGTTTGATTCATAAGAAATCAGGTTCTGGTTCTGGCGTCCGAACAGGTTCTTCAACTATGAGGGAAAACCTGCGCTGTCAGGAGGAGAATTCCAAGACGCCGCTCCGACCGATCCACGGATAGGATTCACGATACAACTGTATCCGGATTCTCGTAGATTCCTACGACATTTTACCTTGTAACTGGAAATAAGAAAACGTGAGTTGTTCTGATAGCATCAGTTCACTATTGACGTATTTCGGCCGCTATTTTTAAGTTCCAATTTTGTGGCGTTCACACATCATCAGTTAAAGGGAAACTTTAATGTACGAATCTTTTAGAATCGGGAAACCCTGATCACCGCTACCATAGAGTAAACACACATTTGGTGAGCTTGTTGACAGAACCTCTCGGTAGGCCGTGCAAGATTGCCACATCGATGCCGATTCCAGATACGGCTGTTACATGGCAAAAGTGGAGACGAGGAGGTATGTTGCAGCGGCGGCAACAGCGTAGAAGTCAGTAATGCGTGAAGGCCTGCCTGGGTGACCTCACAGGGGAGTAGGGCGCACCACTGCCTATTGCACCCTCCCACCCTTCACCCACCCACTCTCTCCCTTCAGTACTTTCCGCCTCCTCCATGCTGTTGAAGCTGACGCATGAGACTCCAGTTTGCCTCCTAACACTCATGATAACTACAATATCAAAACCATAATGTCCTAACTAAGGTCACGAAGAGTTGGCACCAATACACAACATCTAGTGTTGGTCAGCTGGTGTTTGCACCACTACACTGCCACCAGTGCTGGTGACCACCTAACGTCACCCTACAAGTACAGGTGCACAGTAGTGACGCACCTGGTGTCACCCTACACGTACAGATGCCCGGGAGTGACCTACCTGACGTCACCCTACACGTACAGG